AATACGGATGAGGCCGGGCGACGAGTGGAAAACTGCATTTAAAACTCACGAGGGATTATACGAATGGTTGGTCATGCCATTCGGCTTAACCAACGCACCGAGCACATTCATGCGTTTAATGAATTATATCCTGCAACTATTTATGTTTAAATTTGTGATTGCCTACTTTGACGATGTTCTTGTGTATAGTTCTGATATTCAGGAGCATTACATCCACCTACGGCGTATCCTTGAACTCTTTCGGGAGCAACAGCTGTTCGTTAATGTGGAGAAATGTCAATTTGCTGTCCCACAGATTTCATTTTTAGGATACCAGCTCTCTGCCGAAGGATTGAAGGTGGATTTGTCCAAAGTGGAGGCAGTCCGTGGTTGGCCTGTTCCTCAGTCGTTCACATTCGTTTTCACTGACTGACATCATTCTACAGAAGTTTCATTCGGAATTTCAGCACAATTGCTGCTCCGATGACAGAAATTCTCAGAGCCAATCAGTTTGAATGGAACCTGGACGCACAAGTGAGCTTTGATGCTTTGAAACATCAGCTATCGTCGACCCCCACATTAGCATTGCCTAACTTCCATCTAGCCTTTGAAGTTGAGTGTGATGCGTCCAATCTTGGCATCGGTGCAGTCCTGTCTCAAGGGGGCCATCCGGTAGCCTATTTCAGTGAAAAATTGAGTGATGCCAGGCGAAAGTACTCTACGTATGACAAGGAGTTCTACGCAATTGTTCGAGCCTTACATCATTGGAGTCACCATTTGCTGTCCAGTGAGTTTGTGCTTTTCTCCGACCATGAAGCTCTTCGTTTTCTAAATCATCAGAAGAAACTCAAAGCCCGACATGCTAAGTGGTCTGAGTTTTTGTCAGCATTTCACTATGTTCTGAAACACAAGGCTGGACATAGCAATCAAGTAGCGGACGCCCTTAGCCGACGACATTTACTTCTACAAACTCTGCAAAATAAAGTAGTTGGCTTTGAAGTCATCCAGGATTTATATGCTGACGATGCAGATTTTGGGACCATATGGCAACATTGCCTACAAGGTCCATTCAAATTGTTCCACATTACAGATGGATGCCTTTTTTTTTAACAGCGCCTGTGTATTCCAAACTGTTCGCTGCGACTGACGCTTATCTCAGAAAGCCATGAGGGAGATTTGGCGGGTCATTTTGGACGAGAAAAGACTGAAGCATTATTGGGGGAAAATTTCTACTGACCTTCACTTCCGAAACATGTGGGAAGATTTGTGAGAAGTTGCAGTATTTGTAAAAGAGCAAAGACTTCCAGTACAAATGCGGGTATGTATACTCCCCTTCCTGTGCCTAGCTCCCCGTGGGTTGACATCAGCCTAGATTTTGTCGTTGGACTACCCCGCACGCAGAGGAACAAGGATTCAATAATGGTGGTGGTAGATCGTTTCTCCAAGATGGTCCATTTTGTTCCTTGCCAAAAGACGCTGGATGCCACACACGTTGCAGATTTGTTCTTTAAGGAGATCGTCCGACTCCATGGAATACCAAAAACAATTACTTCTGATAGAGATGTTAAGTTCTTAAGCCACTTTTGGAGGACACTGCGGAGAAAATTTGGCACACAATTATAGTTTAGCTCAGCAGCCCATCCCCAAACTGATGGCCAGATTGAAACGGTGAATTGGAGCTTAGGCAATCTTCTGCGTTGTTTGATGGGAAAAACATCAAACAGTGGGATCTTATCTTAGCCCAGGTTGAATTTGCATTCAATCGGTCTGTTAATCAGGCAACCAAGTGAACTCCGTTTGAAGTTGCTTATGGATATAACCCAATTACACCGCTAGAGTTGGTTCCCATGATACAGAAAGCTGCTTTTAGTGCTGATGCTGAACAAAGGAGTGTTGAAATTCAACAGTTGCATCAACAGGTTCGCGATACTATAACAAAACACAATCACAAATGTCAGCAACATGCTAATAAGTCTCGAAGGTCCGTGGAGTTCAAAGAAGGGGATCTTGTATGGATTCGGTTGCGCAAGGAAAGATTTCCTCCATGAGCTTTTTCTAAGCTAAAAACCAAGGCTGATGGTCCTTTTCGTGTGATTAAAAAGATTAATAACAACGCATATCAAATTGATCTCCCCGGCGACTACCAGATCTCTGCTACTTTTAATGTGGCCGACTTAACGCCTCACTATGACTTAGACGCTTCTCCTACCCCGGAAGAATGACACCGGAGTGTCTTCTGCGTCGTCTGATACAGTTTATTTTGTTTGCTTGTAATTACTCTGTTTCTTTTATAGCTTTTAGTGTTGCCATTTATATAGCTACATTTAAATTGTATTTTCTGATTCGTTTTCCCGGTTAGCTATTAAAAGGGCACCTGGGATAATACAAAGGAGTTTTGGATGCATTCTAATATATTGTTTCTCTGACGGAGGTCGAAAACGATTTTCTATATCCTGTTCAACAGGTGGTGGCGGAGTTCTGTATTCGGTTAGCCCAAGCCGGTGGTGATCAATCTCCGACAGGTGAAGAACGTCGATTACGTGGTGGTTCTCCAGAAACTTGATTTCGACAAGGTTCAGGTAATCCCTAGTTTGTATATAGATGGTTCATATTGAATTTTAGATAATGATGCTACCTAATATATTTATCTCACTCAAGAGTAATTTTGTACCTAAAGGGAGCCTGATAATAGTGTAGTGACTTTGGAAAATAATCAAGCTTATTATATTATTGGTGTGGGGATCATCTTCATTAAAATATATGATGGTACTATGAGAGAGCTGACTGACATGAGACACATTTCAAATATCATGAAAAATTTATTATCTATTGGTGCTTTAGAGACTAAAGGCTATGAGATAGTCTTTGAAGCAAAAGTTATGAAGATATATTATGAAGTGTTGATTTTTTAAATGGAGTTTGTCATCACAACCTTTACTATCTTCAAGATAGAATAGTAATTGGAGTGGTTGCTATTGCTGATGATTCCTTTAATGTCACTATATTGTAGTATATGATGCTAGCTCATACAAGAGAGGCCTTACTTATGATTTCGGTGAAGAAATGTTTGATCAAAGGAGTGAGCATCTATAAGATTAATTTATGTGAATATTATGTGTTTGGCAAGAAGACACAACTTTCTTTTTGTATTGATATCCATAATATAAGGGTATTCTTGAGTTTGTTCATACATATATTTGGAGTCAATGAAGACAACATCATTTAACGGGTAAAGATACTTTATTTCTTTTATTGATGATTACTCTAGATATGTTTGAATGTACACCATGAGGCATAAGAGCGAGGTACTAAAGATCTTCAAAACTTAGAATAAGTGGATTGAGACTCAAACCGGTGAAAATTTTTGGTGTATTAGATTAGATGATGGGGAAGTATATATATCAGATAAATTAATGTAAAGTATCAGAGATATAGGATAGAGCACAACTTTAATGTTCTAAAGACACCGCAGTATAACATGATGGTAAAGAGGATGAGCTAGACTTTAGTGGAGAAAGTTTGTTGTATGTTATCCAATGTTGAGTTGGATATAGTCTATTGGGCTGAGGCTATATACCATATATATCACTTAGTGAACTGTCTATCTTCTGCAGCTATGCTCTCCCCCCCCCTTCTCTCTCTCTCTCTCTCTAAGGACATTATTTTATTTTTTATTCTTTATTGACAATCCAATGGAGAGTAGTGTCCTCTTGAAATAAACCTAAATTCAATTAAACTTGAATATGATCAAATCAACACAAGATACAAATAAAATAAAAAGTATATATATGTAAATAAAATAAATTAGACTGATTTATACTAAAAAACATAGTTCGTTACTTTGCTAATACAAATTTCAATAAAAGCACGAGATCTTGCTTCATAACTATCAGCTATTTTTTGAATTAAAATTTTCTTGCCACATAATTATATTTATGTTTGTCCTTTATTTCTCATTAATTATTCATGTATAGTTACTTCTATTACTTATATAAATAAGTACTTCTAATTTCTCTAATATTAAATCCTAACCCTTCATATTTCTATTAAAATTAAATAGTACGCGCTTATCCCTTTATATTCATCCCTATATAGTATAAATTCCTCACTCATGAGATATAGAGTAGCTAAAAAAGAAAATAAAATATATGTTATAATTCCTCATCTTCATCCACCTCTTAATGGCGCTTTGGTGTGAAAAGATTAACCATTAATTCCCTTCCTTGCATTGAATCACATCTACTCCTCCACTTGACAATAAAGAGATTTTGAGAGATCGGCAAATCAGAAGAGTAGATCCAATCACTAAAAGATGATAAAAAAAAAAGTAAATGATGGTTAAGAGCGGCAAGCAAAGACTCCCACATTTCTCTCTCACCAATAACTATTCATTTTCTTCTAATTAAAAATAATGTAAGTTTGTGTTGCAATTGAGGGGCCATTTGATACCATTTTTTTATAATTTCGTTTTCAGATATTTGCGACTATTCAGTTTGACAATGAAACTCTTTGCATCATTCAAAACTTTTTATGATGAGAATTACATTTGTTAGCATCTATTTAGCTAAAAAAAATATTTATATCCCCATGCATTTAAAAAAAAAAAATGTTTTAGACAATTATTCTAATTTTTTAAAAAATATAATTGCAATTACTCCAAATAGATCTTAAATTCACTCAATAAGTTTGGACAAAAAATTTTACAATAGAATATTCATAAAGGACTTTTCTTATAAATATTTTTAATTGTATATAACACGTCATCTCTTAATACGATTTAACTATTAGATACTTTAGATTTCATACAAATAAACTTAAATTATTAATCATTCATAATAAATTTATATAATAATTTATTTATTAAAATTTAATAACTTAATATATTATCTAATAGTTTAAATTCATTTTATTATTTAATAATTTAATCATATTAATATATAGGGGGTTATTCTGAAACAATTTATTAAAAAAAAAAAAAAAAAAAGTTAACGAAAAAAAAAAAAAAGAAAAAGCAAACGAACAAACAGCGGCTATCTAAACTGCCCGTCTTAACCGCGTCAGCTCAAAAATACCTTTGAAAATCTCGCCTCCTTTTAAATATAAAACTCCCATCTCTCTGCTGCCTTCGTTTGCCCCCGCTCCCAGAAAATAATGAACGATTAATCCTCCAATCTTCTCCTATAATGGTCGTCCCCATAAACCCAAAAGCGTGGCTTGCGGATAGCCGCCACCTCGCCGTCGCCTCCTCCGCCTCCGGCACCAGCAAAAGATCAACAATTGGAATCCTCGCCTTCGAATCCGCCACCACCATGTCGCGCCTCGTCTCCCTCCACCACACCCTCTCCGACCCCTCCCTCCGCCTCCTCCGCTCAGACACCATGCGCTCGCCCGGCATCGCCTACCTCACCTCCACCGACCAACACTTCCTCTTCCATCTCGTATTCTCCGACATGCTTTCCGACCTCGACTCCTCCGCCGCCGCCGTTTCTCGCCTCTCCTCCCGCTGCCGATCCCGCAAATCCTTCTCGCTCACCTACACCCATCTGAAATCCGGCCGCATCCCCATTACTCACTCCTACTCCTCCAAAGAAATCAACCGCCGAGTAAAGCAAATGGAGAAAAACATCGCCCTGGTCGCTGACCTATTGGAAGAGATGGAGATACTTGACAACATGGCGAAAAAGAAGCCACCGCCGACAGCGCTCGAGGCCCAGCTCAAATCGCAGAGAAAGAAGGTTGCGCGGATAAAGGAGGAATCTTTATGGAGCAAAACGTTTGATGAAGTAGTATCGCTCATGTCCCGATCTATAATATCAATCTTCGCCCGCATCTGCACCGTCTTCAGCCCTTTCGTCACTGGCCTTCCCCCAGTCATCGTCCACGGCGGCCGGTTCAGTTTCACTCCCTTCAGCTCAAGGTGTCGAATCTATCCTCGACTCAGCGGCCGCCAGCATGCCTCCGGCCCGATGGAGCGCTACCTGCCTAAAGAAGTCGCAATTCGAAACTCATGTCCGATTATAGGCCGGGGAAGAGAAACAGAGCCGAAGATTACAAACACGGTGGGCAGAGCCGGTCTGGCTACGCGGTACGCGAACGTTGTTTTGACGGCGGAGAGATTGCTGAGAATGAGGTGCGGGGAACAGGAGGCGGAGGAAGGGGAGGAGGCGGCGGCTAGGGAGGAAATTTACCGGCAGCTGCCGATAAATCTGCAGGGGATGGTGAAGGGGAAGTTGATGGAAAGGTGGAGAGAACGAGGGTTGGCTGACGTTGAGCTGGCAAAGGGATGGAAAGAGGCGGTGGAGAGGATACTGAGGTGGCTTGGTCCTGTGGCTAGGGACACAGTGACGTGGCAGGAGGAGAAGACTTTGGACCGGCGGCGGCGGTTGGAAGCGAGGCCGAAGATCCTTGCGATACAGACGTTGGAGTTTTCTGATAAGGAGAAGACGGAAACAGCGATTGTGGAGGTGTTAGTTGGAATTAGTTGTATGTGCTGGTATGATGGCCGGACGGCGGAGGCGGCAGCGCGGCGCGGCGGACGTAGAGATAGATGACAGGGGATGTAAAGTAGAGTGTTTTTGTTAGAGAAGGATGATGATTTCTTAAGCTGTAGATAGTAGATACTGATTAAATTCATAAAGCGGGGGATTGAGAATTGAGATCCTTCTAATCCAATTTTCTTGCAATCAATACCGGGAGTGAGTTTTTATTTTTAATTTTAATTTTAATTATTTTTCTCCGGAAAGTTTTATTATAGGGGTATTGAAGAGACATTGATATATTTCTTTTGAAAGGGCTATATGCTTGCAGCAGCTTAAACTCAACACATTTAAAATTAATTCGCAACAAATTTACATATTTTCACTAAAAATTAATGTAATACAATATATCATAAAAATATATATAATGTTGCAGATCATCTGTTTCTTATTCATCTAACATTTATTGTGAAAAATAAATACTATATTGTCTGATCAAAGTCTAAAAAATTGTAATGCATTGATGTTAGGAGGAAATTTGAAAGAGATCGAGATTATAAATTTTCTATCACCATGTACATTTTTTTTTTCATTGCACGTAGAATGCTACACTATTACTTGTCTATTATATCAAGCAAACTTGAAGTTCTTGAAAATATGATAATTTCGTGATTGTGAGAAATATTATTTTGAGGGAAAAAAATGATATAACAGGATGAAGGACAAACAATATTATTTAATTTTTAATTTTTATATTTTGAAATGATAGATATTTATTAACATTAAGATACGTGTCTTTAAATATAAATTTGATAAAAGATAGAAATTTCTGAATATGAATTTCCCATATGGGAAATGAATGCATTGAACGAGTCTATGTATGTGAGCTATGAGGATGAGTAGCGAGTCTCTCAAAAGAAGTGACTAACCTCTTAGGCAAATATAGCTATGCGTCAAGGATGAGCATGATTAATAGAGCCATAGTCATAAGCTTGGTAGGTGTGTGCCTCTTGTAGCTTGGATTTGAGTATTCGTAAAAGATGGACGGTCTTAGCTGAGGAGAGCTATATAGCTCTCCTCAGCTATATATTGTGAGAGCTAAGCCTCCATAGGGCGAGTATCCTATCGAATGAGAGCTTACTAAGGCAAGTTATCTAGTTGAACTCACTCGGAATAGGTGCATCATTGATTTGATCCTTCAAGGGTGATCTCACGTCTACAAACTTCATTAGGACAAAAACCTAAGTGCTCCTCTTTCCCATACTCCTCAAAAGTGAACTTGCTTGATACTTATGTGGGCATATTTAGCTAAATAATAACCATTTTATTTATTTTGATATTAATGTAATATAAAATTTAATTGATTAGTTATACAATATATCCATCTTAAAACAAGTATAATAGTTTAAAAATTATTTCTTTAATTAATTATAAGTATATTAAAATATTCCAACTTAAAATTTCCCCCAAGCAAATTCTGAATTCAATATATATTTTTTTTTTGGGACATTTAGGCCATTTAAAGCAAACTCACACACACAATGCATACACAAAGACTCGAACCCAAGACTTCTTAGTTGGAAGCATAAGCTCTCAACCAACAAGCCAAGGTGAGCTGTGTAATTCAATATTTTTACCTTGTATTTTTCTTTCCTTTAAAAAATTGTGTTAGTACCAAGTAAAAGTCAACTGGCTGGTTTTGAGTTTTGATGGGCAGTGTTTTGGCACAGTACTAATGCATACTTTTTATGGTTCTGCTGCTTTACAAATGTATGGATGAATTGCTTCCTTTTCCTCATGGCACTATTTCGGTGAGCAAATCCTTTTGCTTGTTAGTGATGTTTATTTATTAGCCATGGTTGTTCAATAGAAATAGTTATGTGTCAGAATCTCATTGATTATGATGAATTGTAACTTGTAAGAGAGAAATTAAAAAGAAAAATTAAAATAAATAATTTGATCTAATGTTCATCCATTTATTTTTCTGATTAATCGTAAAGTGAGTTTGTCCAAATTGGGTAAAACTAGTAGTCAGATTGATTCACATGTAAGTCATTTCAGTTCCAATCAAGCTTGCCAAAGGTTCCAAAGAATTCACCCAAATAAACGACTCTCTCAATATTGGTCTTAGGTTTTCTCAAATTCACTGAGCAATAATATATATATATATATAGCTCCCAAATCTTAACGTTATTTTAAACTATATAGCTTGAATAGTGATGGTGTAATGCCTAATTATGTTTTTCAGATTCATAACTTTTAAGTCAAGAGAAGCAAAATTTCTCTCTCTTTCAAGCAGAACTTATTTAATGAATAATTAAAATTTAATTAATGTCATACTCATGTTGGTCATTGATGTTAAAAGCTTGATGAGTACCCTTTATTTTAACAAAGATATTCTCTTTGATAAAGAAAAAAAAAATCACAAAATATAATGTGAACAACTGCTACAAGCTCGAATATTTATATATAATATTAATTTGAACCTTTTTTTAAATGTGCTATTTTTTTTCTCAACAATATCGCCAATATTTCATGATCACATGAGCTGTGACATTGCAAATTTATTTAATAAAAAAGGAAGAAGTCACTGAATCAAAAAATGTGAAAGCAAAGAAATCCAAATGTCAAAAAAAAAAAAACAAAAGACAATTCAATTTCACATTTGTCTTCGGCTCTATTTATAATTTAAGTGTAAGATATAACTTGTCTCTAAGGAAAACTTGACCGTCGATTTTTCCACCAATAACAAATGAGACAAGTTTGAATTTTTCGCTTTGGCATTAAATGGTTGAACTGTTAGCTTTGAAATTTGGTTAATTTCAACATAATAAATTAATTCTGACGTACTTATCCATGATTTTTTTTATTTTCTCTATCGAATGTTCTACAAATGAGGAAGGTCATCCACTTACCATTGCTGTAGTAGAAAAGAAACACGCAGCCAAAATAAACAAGAAATAAAAAATGAAGTAGAAATAAAAAACACTAAAATTTAACGTGGCATAATTTGAATTAGGAAAATTTTACGAAGCCACAATACAATTAATAAGAAATTTATTATGAAATTTGAGAGAAATGTATACAATTTCTTTTTCTTTCTCACTATCTATTTGCTTCTCTTCTCATGCACCGTTCAAATACCAGAACAAACAAAGAGATCAAACACAACCACTAAGGGACGCAATTCTGAATGAAAAATAAAAAAGAAAACTGCCCAACCTGTCTCGCAGCATTGTGATGCTTCTACTTTTTGATTTCAGTCTGCACAACAGTGCCAAGGTTTTGTAACACCACAAAACTTTGCTTCTTAGTCATTTTCTACGAAACTATGCAGCACTAGAGCGCTCGAGTATATAGCGTTTGGGCATTGTATAAAAAAAAATCTCCCAACCCAAGTAGGGGGACCCCCAGCAACCTTCTAACGAGCTCAACAGATTGAATTGAGGTTCAAGGCAAAAGTATAACCCGATTATCAAACACAATCAAATTCCACGAAACTAACAATTAGAATGGTCATTGGGTGATTAGTGTCACACAACAACTTATAATAGATATCTGATGCTAAGGGAAAAATTTGATCAACTTGATCATTCTCTTTATGTAGAAGGGGGCAAGCGATCAAGAGGATTAGTGTCATATTTTTATGCTTGTGAACTTTAGACGTTAGTTTTTTATAGGTCTTAGAGGAATATTGTTAGAATCTAAGCAATGGAGGTGCCGACATTTGGGATAGCTTTCTTTATGCACGCCTCTAGTTAGTTATATATATTCTGATTTTATGACAATTTGGATTTTATTATCAGAATTGTTGCAAAGTTTGATTTTATTTATTATGTTCAATATTTCTCATATATTTGTCAAATTCATCTACATTTATTCATGTCATTTGGTTTGAGTTAATATTATCATAATCACATATTGCTTTATTTGTATATTTTTTTATTATGATGTTTTGCAAGTTAAATGAAATTACTTTTGGATTGAGCTATCATTGTCATGCCCTCATGGATAGATGCATGTTTTCGGATGACGGTTTAGCTATAATTTTGAAGAAAAGTTCATTTAATTTTTTTTTTTAAATAATGAACTATAACATATACCAATAGTTATATGGTTTTCTTTTGTAGAAGTATATGTAGTTTGATCATTAGTGTTAAAATATATTAAATATTGCAAATATAGTTATATGTGATTGTTTTATTATTATAGATAGAATGATAAAATGATGGAGGTTGTTTCCTATATCTTTGCTTTGTACACTAAATTCTAAAACTACACTAGAGAAATTAGTTAACATGTACTAATATAAATTCTAAAAGTGCTATAAAGGATCAAGAAAATTATGATATTTTTATTGAAATTGACTAATATAAATTAGCATATTGTCATTTCGTTAAGTTTCTAAAATTATTAGTAAATGAAGAAGAAAGAGAAAAGTATTTTAATAGTTGGAGGAAAATGAAGGCACATGATTGCTAGAAAAAGGAACAAAGAAGGATAAGGAGCAATCAATAAATCTCTGGCAGAAGAGGAGGAGAGAAAGGGAAATATTTTCTTTATTGGTGATCGTCAAAAATAGAGAAATAAAGAGATATCAATCAGGGTGGTTTTTGACACATGTAAGAAAGCTAGAATAAGAGGGAGCATTTGCAATGACATAGCTTTACGGCTTCTTACGTGAGATTTGCTTTCTGAGGGCAGTGATCGGGCTATTCATGGGATTTGCTTGACTTCAGATCATGTATATCAATTTTGTTTGGCTTTGATTTCTTCCATCAATGAGCAAATTTTTACTGGCACTATTATGATTTGATAATCAAATTCTAGAAAGATTATTGCTCAATAAACTCTATTCCTTAATTGAATGGAATGGTGAGGATTGTATATATATGCATTTATTGGATGTTGAGAATTTATATTAAGCCAAATGTGTTTTTGGAATATATCAAATACAATTCTATATAAACAGGACAGATTTAATTAAGATCATAAATAAGTTTTGTTTGAATGAAATTCACAGTACATGATAATGCTAAATTTATATATGTATCCGTCGAAAGGGAAAATTTTCGAACTAAGCATAATTAACAATTTAACTATAAGATAAAGAATTTAAAAATAGGCAAAGTCGCTCGTTTGAAAGGGGACTTAGGTCTAATCCAGAGGACGACGTGGCAGACATGGGCGGATCCACCCATGGCTTAGGGTGGGCAAATGCCCACCCTCAAAAAAAAAAGTTTAAATATTTAGAGGGGAGATTTTGAATTATTTTGGGTATTTTGGGCATTTTTCCCTCCCTCAAAAAATTTTTTTTCCATACTTTTATCAATCCTAAGTATATTTGCCCATCTCTCACAAATTTTTTTTTTTGCCCACCCTAAAAAAAGAAGCTGGATCCGCCCCTGGTGGCAGATGATGTGGCAATTAAAATATTTAAGGTAAGTCGCCCGTTAAACGGGCGACTTATAGTTAAATAAATGATCTACTTTCCCTTTCCCGATTCGTTCCTCTCCCTCTTCGCCATTTTTTCGCTGCTCGCTCGGTGTTGCTTGTGTTCGTCGCCGGTTAAGCAAAGGTATGGCTTTTTTTTATGCATTTTATGTTAAGTAAGTTCAATGTATGTTGATTATTGTGTATTTTGTTTAGAGAAATAAAGATTTATGCTTTACAAACTGTTTCTTTAGTTTTTTTTTTTTGTAAATCTCTTTGTTTGTGGAATATATTTGAAGATTTATTTGCAGTTGTGTTGTATATTATTGGTGGATTGACTACTGGATTTGCTTCTAATCTTTCAATTCTGATACTTGGCTGGCTTCTTTATGGCATTGGCATTGGTATGGTGAGTTAGATTAGTTAGATATTTTTCTTATTTCAGGTTATCGTTCTGTTGTCTCATTATGATAAAGATAGCTTAAACCTAACATAATTAGCTCAAAAGTCACCTAACACTTTTAAGGGAAAACTGAAGGGATAGGTAAACAACATATGTTGCAACACGAGCGTCAAATTGAGATGCAGAAGCATTATCAGATTTCAGAGCAATGCACCATAGACTAAAAAAATGGAAAAAGAGAAGAAGCAACCGAGAGAACACTCAGGTTTACAAGAAATTGCCTTCAATCAAACAAACATTTATGGCAGAGTATCCAATTTGCTATTATAAAAATCAAAATTATGGTGTATAAATCACTAGCGCTTGCCAAAGGAATATTCATGAATATTAAAATGTACAACATAGATAATCAGAAATTAAGTTGAAACAAATTTTAAAATTTGGTTTTGTAAAATTTTAAAATTTATTATTAAAATTTTGAAATTAATTTCATGAATATTATATTTATTTTTAATTTTTTAGCATTCAAAAAATTTTGAAGTTTATTAATCTAATTAGTATTCTAATTGATAACTTATAAAATGTTTATATATGTAAATGCTAAATTTTAAAAATATTTAATTGTGATTAAAGAATCATTACTATAAAATTAGTTTTAATGTTAAGTTCTGTAGCAATAATTAATAGAATAGTTATGTAATAATAATTTATTTTCAAATTTTTTTTATATTTGATTTTGGTATTGTACTTGCTCTGAAAACTATTGTCTACTTAATTAGAAGTAACAACTTGGCATTTTCTAAATTTAAACGTATATTAAGAATATTTTATTTGTTCATCTTTTTAGTGGTACGTACGAGTTGAATAATGAGTGGACGTGGTGCAACCTTCATGCTCCTATATGGAGGCGAGTTACAAGTTGATGATAAATTTGCACCAAGTTATTCTGGGGGGAGGAATCGTCCCTTACATGTGCCAAGAAATATAAACTTAGAGCAGCTTAAGTTAAGGATACTTAGAGCACTACTTAAGTATGATCCTACAAAGTTTTCTGCGAACTTAGTCTGTCGAGTGCCTATGGGAAATGAGTTTGTCGCTTCACATGTTGAAGATGAAGATGTTTGTGAAGTTTTATTATGTCAGGCTGAAACATAATTTCTCATCATGTATGTTGATATCCAAGAAAAAAGTGCAAGTGAAGATAACATTGAGCCTCCAAATTCACAAAGATATGCAACTTCAACCCAAGTTGAAAGGGTTGATGTGGTTACTAGTCCTTCAAGGATAGAAGCAATAGAAGAAGCCCTTCATTAGTGAGTTTCCTATATCATGTTTCACAAATAGATTTGTAGAAATATATATTATTGATTAATAAATGGTAAATAATATTTTCAATGTAGTGATACTGAGAACCAACAGACGCAGGAACCTCCATTAGTGTCTACACAATCAGTCCCTTCATATCATTGCGATTATGAGACTATGAGTAGTGGCTCTAGTAAGTAGTGCTCTGATGATGATGATGCTGATCTTTTACCAGTGGTTAACGATGGAGATGTAGTTGATAATGAGGAGATTAGAAATATTATCCAAGATTATTGTTCTAGATCACTACATACAGTGGTATAAGTCATGGGCAACACTATACATGTTAAAGGCACCTGTTGAGCCACCCACAACGGCATATCCTAGAGCTCCCTCTAAGCGCTTTCTGGTAGGTTTAAATTGAATATGCTATAAATTTCTTAAATAATTTCTTTTTTTAATAATAACAAATTTCTTTTGTTAATTTAGAGGGATTTTTTCCTTGGTGCTGAACATGCTTTGCAACAACACTTCAATGGTACAAATGATACACAACAACAGAGGGACATAAACATAGTGGCAGAGCTTTGTCGTGGTTTGCGTAGGCAGTTGTATATTCAAGATCATTAATATTTTGAGGATAGAAGTAAGCATGATACACAATTTTTCATGACCCAGGAACCTCCTCAACATTACAGTGGATATGCTGGACCCTCCTCTTATCCTGATCAAAGGCCCTCTACGGACCTCTTTAGTAACCAGGTGCCAGCGGATTTGGATGCATACCTCACCCCAGATTTTGTACTGAGCTCCCTTCATAGAGATGACATAGTTGAGGAAGAAGTTGCTGAGGAGGAACATCACATGCTACGTCAAAGGCCACAATGACCTCCACAACATTACACTCCAGGCACTGATGCATTGCCACAGAGGCCACGTAGGCGACGCTAGTTCATCATTTTATGTATTTCAGTATGCTTATATTATGGATTATTTAATTTCAATATGCTTATGTTATGGATCATTTAAATTATTATCATTTTATTTAAAAGTCTTTTTAACCTGGCTAGTAAACTGCACCTGAGCCAATTTACAAATTCTTCTTATATTTATAATGAAACACTCATCAAATCTAATCATATCAACACTAATTGCCATTTACATTTTTTTAAGTATATATAACTAATATATACATTTGTCGTGCCAACTTTTTTATTACAAAATCTAATTTAACAAAAATTAAGAAATATTAAATGAGTGTTAAATCTAATATATTTGAATTCTTCATTCTAATATCAAATCTTATAGTCCAAAAAAATTCTATTTACATATTATTCTTTAACAGTCCTACAAACTTGCAGAATTTTTTTTTAATTAATTTTTTTTTTAATTATAGGCTAAGTCGCCCGTTAAACGGGCGACTTATGCGACTTATAAGTCGTCCGTTATACGGGCGACTTATTAATAAAAACATTTTTTTGCCAACTCAGCATAACGGCTACAATCCTAGTCAGCATAAGTCGCCGTTTAAACAAGCGATTTTGTCTATATTTAATTTTTTTTTTAAATATGCTTAAATTGTTAATACAATTTTTAATCATATTTATTCTTAAAATTTTCCCGAAATGACTCATAATAATAAAGAATCATATAAATATATAATATACATAACATAAAAAAAAATTCCAGCTAATTCTCACTCCCTCCAATGGCTTACGCACTTACCGCCGCGCTGCCCCCTGCCTTGCCGCATTACAACAAAGCTCGTCCGTCGCCTCCAGGACTCCGATCTCAAGCTCACTCTAACCGCCGTTTTCCTTCACCCGTCGATATTAACAGTCACTCCTCCCACTTCATCAAAATGCCACTCCTCCCCGTCCTCGCCATTTCTTCTTCCCCTCGACGCCGCCTTCACGCCCAATCACGGGGAGACTATCCGCCATCCTCCTCCCCTGATACCGGCGCCTCCGAGGCGTTCTCATGGCCCGCCGTTGTCCTTCCGTGAGTGCTTCCGTTTCTATTTGTAAATTATTTTGATTTCGTCTTGAATTCTTATTCGATAAATTAACTAGGTTTTTATTCCCGGCACTGGGTGGTCTGCTCTTTGGATACGACATTGGTGCCACCTCCGGCGCCGCCATCTCCCTGCAGGTGAGGGATTCGTGTACTTTTTTTTATTTATATGAGTTTGCATGTTTAGCGTCTGTTGATACTCTCAAGTCTCAAGCCTAGTAAAATATGGAACAGCTATTGAACCGACATTGTTCTGAATCTGGAACAGACTACAGAGGTTGAATTATTTAATACAAAATTAAAATAGTAGTTTAAGTTTAATAAAATTTATCTTTGATATGTTAACTTACTGGTGTATTATAAATAAAATACATGCATTAAAGCAGGTGAGGGTATTGAATTTAATCTCATATTAATAACTGTAATAGTATATTTAAAAATAACAAGTTGTTGAACCCTTAACTTTTTGAATTAAAATTGAATTTGATCACTGGCGTATAGAAGTTATTGATCTGGTTTGTGTCAAAAAGCTATGCGATCTGAGACTTTCACACCTCCGATTCCACAACATGAACTATATAGTTTTTAAGTTTAAAATATATGTATTTATCTATACATTTGAAAAGATACATAAAATAAAAGTTTTTCTGAATAATGTGTACCTAAGTGTTACTTGAACGGGTAAAACACATGAATTTGCTTGGTTCTCAAGTTCCTAGTTTCGAGCTGTTCTTTTTTGTTTTTTGAAGGATCATATTCATATATGCTAGACTCATGGTCTCCATTTTTCCTCAGTCAGCGGAGCTCAGTGGGACTGACTGGTTCAACCTCTCAGCTGTGCAGCTTGGTCTTGTGGTAATATTCTAGGCGAAATGGTGCTGAATTCAGCAATGAGCATTTTCTTATAACTTGATGTTTTTTTGGCTGTAATAGGTCAGTGGTTCTCTGTATGGAGCTCTTGCTGGATCCCTCATAGCATTCCCTACTGCAGACTTCCTTGGTATTGCTGCCAACAATTTTCTCTTAATTGTTTAATGCTTCTTTGTTTGAAGTCATCATTAGCTTAGCAGTTGAGCATATCAGTGAGATACATGCTTCTGGCATTTTAACAATTTCCGAGCCGACCTGATAACTGTTTCTTGGTGAAGGAAGAAGAAGAGAGCTTATTGTTGCAGCTGTGTTGTATATTATTGGTGGATTGACTACTGGATTTGCTTCTAATCTTTCAATTCTGATACTTGGCCGGCTTCTTTATGGCATTGGCATTGGTATGGTGAGTTAGATTAGTTAGATATTTTTCTTATTTCAGGTTATCATTCTGTTGTCTCATTATGATAAAGATAGCTTAAACCTAACATAATTAGCTCAAAAGTCACCTAACACTTTTAAGGGAAAACTGAAGGGATAGGTAAACAACATATGTTGCAACACGAGCATCAAATTGAGATGCAGAAGCATTATCAGATTTCAGAGCAATGCACCATAGACTAAAAAAATGGAAAAAGAGAAGAAGCAACCGAGAGAACACTCGGGTTTACAAGAAATTGCCTTCAATCAAACAAACATTTATGGCAGAGTATCCAATTTGCTATTATAAAAATCAAAATTATGGTGTATAAATCACTAGCGCTTGCCAGCCTTTTCCCAATTCCCAATGACACACACGTACAAGAGAACAATAAAAAAACCTTGAAATATCACATATGGAGATTATCTCAAAGGTGACATTTTTCTCGCAACCATTGTTAGGGCTGACAATCCTTCGAGAAACTCTATAGTTGAGAGGGTGTGCAAGAAACAAAAGAGATCTAAGTCATTCAAAACCCTAGTTAGAATGTATGCTTATGGTCGCTTGCCTTAATTGAGGCTTGCATTTCATGCATAGCAACACTCTTCTCGAAGAATTCCATGGATCCAGAGTTGGGGGATCAAGATTCACAAATCCCATAACTACCTTCAAGGGATGATTCCTAAGAGATTCACATTGAATGATGGGTGCTTGTGATCTTAACTTTTTGATATACTTTTAATCAGAATAAGGAGTACACCTTGTGCATGCTAAAATGGATCTGCAACAAAGCACGATGTAGCAAAATAATCTCTATCAAGTCAAATTGATAATTATCCCTATTGACTTAACACTGTAGCAAAATTGGGCACTCTATTAAATGATGTCCATTTTCTATTCTTTCTAGCATGTTTAGCACTTAACACTCATTCAAAAAAAAAGAAAAAAAAAGCAGTTAACTCTCATTCATTTCTTTATTATTATCCTTCTCCTTAAGGTTCACATTATTAAACTGACCATTCTCTTTGTCTTTAACATAATCACTATCCACTTGCTCATTAAGTTCAGGAGGGATATTATTAATAAAGTATTAAAATATTCCATCTAAACAAACAAGTGAAAAAGAGGTAAATTATATTAATATTATCATAATTTATTTGAAAAACAAGTAAATTAGAATGCCACTACTCAGTAGATGAGGCTTGCAATTATAATAGTTTTCTTGTTTTCTTTGTGACAGATACAGATAGAACATAAGGTGGAATTAATATGAGAGTTTGAGTTTATATACTTTAGAGCCTGGAGGATGGATCAAACTTCAAAGTTTTTTAGTGTCAGGATTTGTGGGATTAAAATAAAATAGGGTGATGATGAAGAGGATGTTGTTGTGAAAGGCATCATAATAAACAATAGTCATTTGAGGAAGGTTGTGGCAGCAGAAGTCAAGAGTTTGTAATATGGGAGGATTAAAGGAGGATATGGTAGCTTGTGAGCAATCAACTAGAAGTGGGAGAACTGAGTGACAAGATTGCATATTGATGTGGTCCTCACACCTTGTGGCTAGAACGAAGATCAAGGGAATAGAGACAAGGTGCGAACTATGAATTAAGAATGAGTCTATCAAAAAAAAAAAAAAGAATGAGTCTATCGAGAGCAAGACTCAAAGGGAAAAGCTACATTTTATAAATCATGAGTTATGCCAGATGGTTCAAATCACGGCAAGATCATGATTTTAAGGAAAATAAGAAGGCTGCTGCCTATTAGGGTTCAGTCAGGTTTTCAAAGTAATCTGAACTTGACCCAAAAATTAATTAAGTTTATATAACCTAACATGTTTGTTATTCGGTTCAATCCAAATCTAATTTTTTGGGTCATGTTCATGTTAGGAAAGTAGAGGTATTAGATTTGACTTATGTTAAGATAGATAGAGGTAGACCTAAAAAGACCTAGTTAGAAAATATTAAAAATGATCTTTCTTTATTAGATTTAAACGAGAATTTGGCTTTTAACAAGACACAATGGAGAAAAAGGATTCATGTAGTCGACCCCACGTTGTGGGACAAAGGCTTGATGTTGTTGATGTTCCTGTTGGTTCACATATTAACACTCCTATGGACAAGAACACCATACATCTTAGTTCTCTAATGGCTAAAACTTTGACCATCAAATTTCTAAATTTTGAATATTATGATCATCTTATAATCGTGGTTAAATTTTTTTTTTTTTTTGCAAAGATAAAATCAAACTTAGGCACAGAAGCATCATCATGATTGACAATGATGCATAATAAACAAATATAAATGAGAATAAAAGATATAACCCAAAGAACACTAAGATTTGTGTGATTTAATTTTAATCAAGTTTATGCTCATGGGAGCTGTGATGATCCAATTCGCTAACTGAGAAATATTGTGGTGAACAAATCAATATCACTCAGTACTTTCTAAATTCTTAAGGTACACGTACATACAAAAGAAGATGAAAGTGTCAAATCTCACACACAGATTACCTCAAAATAAATCTTCTTTTCTGCATTCGTTGTTGAAGCCACTAATTATCGAAGTAACCCTAGAACTAACAAAGGGTATGTGAGTAGGGAGAGGGGTCAGTCAATGTCATTTAAAATCTGAGCTTATGTAGATTTATAGCGGTGACCTACCTAGCATGCATACCGATGGTTGCATTCTCATGTACTGATGACATTCTTCTTGAGGAAGTCAATGGATAGTGATACGGGTAGGTATTCCCAAATCTCAATAATTACCTTCAAGGCATTCCTAATGCCTTAGCGCGAATTAATGAGTCATCTTTGATCTCAGTTGTTAAATCTTTTTCTGATCAAAATAAGGAAAAGTTCATGAGCAAGCTTCCATGGATATGGCACAAAGCAGTTTTTATCAAACAAATCTCAATTGAGTTTAATTAATAACATACCTAGCTAGTTATTTATTAACACTAGTGAAGTGAATATATGAGTTTGGAGCCATAAAGCTCACCCTTTTGAGAAAAAAATTGAAAAGCTTGGTCTAAAAATAGTTTCTCAATAACAATATGATCAAATTCAGCACAATTTAAAATAAATTATATTCTTTTTAACTATTACAATGAAAATAAAATTTCAAACTATTCAATTATAGCCGCCCCCCTAGCTAACTTGATTGAATTTACCCTAATAAATTTTATATTCAAGGCCATTTAGTATCCTTAAGAAATTGTATTGCCGCGCTATTCTTCTTTGTTTGTCATTTTGAGTGATCAATACTAATGTTTGTTTAACACAGGCCATGCACGGTGCTCCGCTTTATATTGCAGAGACTTCTCCATCCCAAATACGTGGAACATTGATATCTCTAAAAGAGCTCTTTATTGTGCTTGGCATATTGGTATATTCTTCAACAATTTTGATTTGTTATCCATTATGGAATTCATTCATGATGATGAATTAGTGAAAATTGTATGCTAATGCAGCTGGGATACCTTGTTGGAAGTTTTGAGATTAATTCTGTTGGAGGATGGCGTTTCATGTATGGTTTCAGTGCCCCGATTGCATTGTTAATGGTCATAGGCATGTGGAGCTTGCCACCATCTCCAAGATGGTTACTCCTCAGGGCAGTTCAAGGCAAAGGATCCTTTAACGAATACAAAGAAAAGGCTGCTTATGCCTTGGGGAAATTGAGGGGTCGTACTGTTGGTGATAAAACATCCAAGGAGCAAATAGAAGATGCTATTATCTCTTTGAAGGCTACCTTCAATGAAAAAGAATCTGAAGGAAATTTCTTGGAAGTGTTTGAAGGAGCAAGTTTAAAAGCTTTCTTAATTGGGGGAGGATTGGTTTTTTTCCAACAGGTACTATCTCCCAACTTCTAGTTCTTTAATGCGTCTCTTTTGTTCCTTCTATGGAAAAAGTTTATTAATTTGTTATGGTCTTATCTTGTGTACATCTATATGATAATAAGTTTGTTATTGAACCCTTGCCCAAATTGGCAGATAACTGGGCAGCCAAGTGTCCTATACTACGCAGCTCCTATTCTTCAGGTTCCATGCCATAAATTGATCTCCTAAGTTATTTTTGTGAAACTAATTTCCAACATATACGGTTTTCACTCATGCAGAGCGCTGGGTTTTCAGCGGCAGCTGATGCCACTAGGGTTTCAGTTGTGATTGGGATTTTTAAGGTGCATTCTTTGAACTATTCTAAGCCTTTAAACTTATTTCCAATTTGTAAAACTGTAATATTTATTGATGTTTCTGCCTAATTGACTGGTTTTTATTACATCTGATTAAAATTTTTAAGCTGGGTTTGTCCTAATGCTAATTTTTCTTTGAAGGATTCCAACTCCGAGCTTGTCATTTTATTTTCTGTAAGTGTAAAGTGAATTTGTATGTTTGATAAACCTGATAATTATAATAGGTTATGCCTGTTCCAAATTCAATGCATATCTTGAGTAACATTAAGTTCCTTTCACATTTTGTAGCTAAGAACCTAATCATGTTCTATATATAGTATGAGATGCAAGCAAGCTTCTTTTTACCAGAAATCCTGCAGTTGTGAAAACTATTATAGTGATATTCTGAAGTCAGATTTTAAATTCAGTTCTTCATTATAATCCAATCATATGATAGCAGATGGCATGATCTTCCATGTCATTTTAGTTCAAATCTAATAGGGATGTGTTTCCTTCATTGTATCTGAAATAAAAACATCATCGGTATTTTTTTTGGCTTGTTCCTTCTGGAACATGAGTGGTCTTTTTTCTAGAGTATTTTCATAGCTCAAGAACACTCATGCTCTAGAGTATTTTTTAGCTATGAGAACACTCTAGAGCATGAGTGGTCCTTTTTTTATATATTTTGGACTTTTATGTAAGGATGCAGAGCAACACAGTTTTGAAGGCATATTATGATAAGATCAAAAAATTCTTAGTTAGAAGGTAAGTTAGCTAAGGTTTATTTTAAATATGGGGATGAAGGTTTCCATTGTTGTTATCAGCCCCCTTCCCCCTTGATTAATTGCAACATAAGCTCGATTTCACATTACACTCTTGATTAAGGATATTTCCATTTTCAGGATATTTCCATTTTCCACATGGTGGTTGTTCACAATATGGAGATTGATGGGGACGAATAATCAATCCAATTAAAGACCTGATTCAATTGTCCTAGGTCAAGCTTGTTGACCTAGCTAATACCAATGATAGAGGGCCGAGTGGCCGGTCATCTAGGGAGTCTAATTAACAAGTAGATGTGTCCTAATATTTAAAGTCGGGTATTATATCCAAGGAATGCCGGGTTTACAACTTCGATGTTAGAAAAATATGAGAATATTTGTTTAGCTTAACTCGATGACATTCAAATTAAGTTTTGCGTATTGTGAATGTCAAATTTACATTCGAACAAAGGTTAGAGCTATTTTATTATTAATGATGCCCAAAGGTCGAGACTCACAACCTTGAGTATAAGGGAAACCTTGGTGGAAATTTTAGTGCTCTAATTTTGGAGAAGTTGCAAGTAGGACTTACGACCTCTCAATTAGAGTTAGGCTTGCAAACGAACAGAGCCGAGCCGAGTATATGTGTGTTCATGTTTAAGTTTGTTTATTATCAGCTTGTTCAAGTTCGGTTCGAGTTTGATTCAAGCTTTTTTGTTTGTGTTCAAGCTTGGTTCGTTTAAATTAATGGGCGTTCATGTTCGGTTCATTTAGTGCTTATCAAGCTTTAAACAAACGAGCCTTATCGAGCTATAAACAAGCTCTACTTCTAGATGTGAATTAACTTAACAAATGAGCCTTATCGAGCCTTCTAACAAACAATTACATCGAGCCTGTTTGTGAATGAATCTAGCAAAGTTTTTTAAACTATCAAACAAGCTCGTTCAAGAATATATCTAATAAGTATTCTTGAGCTATCAATGAGCTCGTTTATGAACATATCTAATTAATGTTTTTGAGCAATCAAATGAGCTCATTCACAAACAAATGATCCATGATTCATCTTATATTTGTTCAGAGAGCAGTTTGTTCGTGATTTTAGGCAACTGTTGGAAGTAAAATAAATTATTAAATAATTTTAGACATGATTAGTAAAAATAAATTATTAAATTTAATAATATATATATTTAAAAACTCTAATATAGTTATAATCGAGTTTCTTAACGAGCTTATTCACGAGCATTAAACGATACTGTTCATGAGCATAAACGAACCAAACACCAAGTTGTTCATGCTCATTTATTTATCTATCGAGTATTTATCAAAAGTGTTCAAACTCGTTCGTTTATCTTATCAAATGAACATGAACATGCTCTTATTGAGCCGAGCCATGGGTAACTCGTCGAACACTCGGTTCATTTGTAGTCCTAATTAGAGGAAGATTTAATAATGAATCTTAGTACATAAGTGACCGACCTTAGGATGTTATGATTTATGCAGTTGAGACAACCTTAGGTTCATATTTTGATGAAGTTCGAGTTGGGGGGTCATTTAGAAATATGGATCACTGTGCAAATCAATGAACCATATTCGATTTTTTGGTCCTTTAATTGGTATAAAAATGGGGTTGAACATATCGGCTTGAGCGTGAACCATTACAAACCCAAGGTTGGATCATCGAGCCGATGAATCGTTTGTGGTTTGGTTGTACTAACTAGTTCATCTTTTGATTAAAATTTGTGTTTGATATTGCCTTTCATTTTTAATTGGACAAATTTAAATAAATCATAAAATCAAAATAATTTAAATAAATAAAACCTAAATTTTTTTAATATAAATTTTTAAGGCCTAATCTGCTTATATGCTTGCAGTTTCACTCCTAACCCTTCATGTTGATTCCCTTGTTCTTTCTACTTCCTCGACAATGCATCTTTATTCATTGCCACCTATTGTAGCTGCAGTCACTATTCTTTCTCTCTCTCTCTCACTGTGGCACAATAGTCCTTATCTTACGTTCTCCCAAAACTCCCAACTCGCCACAATCACTCCATCTCTTACACTCGTAAAATTGCCTACTCCATGCTAGGTTATTTCTTTTCCCTCTCACTGTCTCTCATAGTTTAATTTCATTTTATTTTTTTCTCTTTGTGTTGACTTGATCCAGGCATCAGCTCATGAAATGATAAATATAAATTCATGTACATTTGTCTGATTCTAGAATTCACTATTTTGAAGCGTTTTACTATGGTGCTTAATCCATGTGTTATATTTATATCCATCCAATTCAAACAATAATTTTTTGGAATTCAAACAACAAATTTTTTGACTTAGTGGATTCAACCATTAATTTTTCATTTTTTGTTTGATTCAACTCTTAAATATCTTTTGGAATTCAAACACATTTTATTTATTTATTTCTATCACCTCTAATATTTTATTACCCGACTCTAATGAGGGTGTTTCGGTAGCACAGGTTAAATTTTTGGAAGGCATATTAGATTGCATATAAGATAATATCTGGATCTTTTGCTTTTTTTTAACGGGGACTTTAAGATCTAGTTTACGTTTTCCTATGGGCGTAATTAACTATAGTTAATTTTCCTTTTTGTTGATGAGAGATAATTTTTTATTAAGGTAGGTCATTAGAAGCTAGTGTTTAACACACAATATCAACCAATTCAATATAAGGTTTGAAATTTATCACCTTACACCTAAACAAATGGTGGGAAATAATGACGAGCTCGATTAAGATTCAATGATTTCGTCATCCTGAGTTTTCATTGGTTCCTAGTCTACTTAGTCAGAGGAGGTAGTCAACTTAATTTGACTGAATGATTCTTATTGTTAACTATAGATTATTTTGTGTATAGGAATCTTATAACCCGAGGTAGATGTTTGTCTAATGGGACAAATTTAAGTCGATCTTAACTAACAAAGGGCTTTATACCCTATCAAATGCACCACGATTCATTACTCTAGAGTTCTTAACAATTTAGAAACTTGTGGGCTCTAGCCGCTATTACAATTTAATGGTGTCATTTTGTAATAACATCACTTTGAATCTTGTCTCTACCCACTTGCTATTATAAGACCAGGTTCATATATTTACTTTGTGAGCTATTAGTCGAGCAATAAACTTAAGAGTTTGTATTTTATGATGAATTTTTATTATAAAAGATATTGAAGGTTTTATATGAACGTAAAGCCTGATATCATTATGATATTTGCAGTCGTATATTCATTTATTAGAATATGATCAAGAATTATTCTTCCATAATGAGCTATTTGAAATTTTGCTGCCCATATACCTTATGAAACAGAAGTTTTGTCAACTCTAACTTTTATAAGGAGGAAAATTGGACTTGAAATATAGCACTTATGACTCTGCTCTATAGACAGAGCTACCTGCTCAAGAGCATCATATAATGACATTTGATTTTTAAAAGGGAGTTTATAAAATTTTAGACTAATGAAACTGTCATTTTTACGGCACATGTATGCTTCTCCTTATGCGGTTAAATTGAAATTCATTTTTATTTTGGCCTGGGTAGAATTCTAATACCTTAGATTCAAGAATTTGATGCATTTGTTTGGAGCACATGCATTATTGATTTCAATGGTTTGATGTATCATGCACATATTTTGATGCATTTGCAAGGTGCATTTACACAAAGCGCTTGGATATTTCTTAATGCACTTTGCAAGGTACCCTTGCATGTTTCTTGATGCACTTACGCAATGTACTTGCATGCTAGCATGATCTTGTGTGTTTACACAAGTGCATTTATATCGTCATCAATATATTTATATATTTTTTTGACACAATTGTTTTGATGATTTGATGCAACCTGCACAGTACAATTGTTTTGATGATTTGATGCATCCTGCACAGTTTATCAAAACAAGTGTGCGACCTCTCACTAGCAACAATGCACTACTTTGTGTTATTTGAAAATAATATATTCACGGGGCGCATTATTCATTTATGGGCATTTTGCTTGTTCACGGGATGTGCATGTGCCATTGTTTTAGTAATTAAATTATTTAAGACATTTGTATACCCGTGACGTGTGATAGGCTTGACTATTTCTTCTTTTGAAACCCTTCACATGAATGAAACTATTTGGTTTGTGCTATGGTCTGAAGTAGCAGTTATTCATGTGATTGCATTGTCATTGGATCGTGCTCATGATTTTGTATTTTAAATTTATTATAGCTCACATTTTTGTTTGAGTAGAGAGGGAGTTGAAGGAAAACTTGAATTACGGAGATCAACTTTAGAGTCTAAAGGCTTTTGTTTGAGTAGATCTAAAACTAAATATATTGAGTGTAATTTTAGTAGTAATAGCTTTGGACGATCAAGTCATTAATAAGAGTATATGTTTTTTGACATCTTGGGTCTTTTGTTCAATGTGATGGTGAAATAGATGGGGAAGGATATTATTAGTAGAATTCAAGTTGGATGGTTGAAGTGGAGGAATGCGTCAAGCTTGTTGTGTGATAAAAAAACACTCCTCAAATACAAGATAGTGGTGAGACCTGTAATGTTTTATGATGCAAAATATTGGCCATTGAAAGAGTAGCATAAAATTATGTTAAGTGTTGCAGAGATGAGGATTCTCAGGTGGATGAGTGGTTTCACTCTTAGAGACAGAATATGAAACGAGTATATACGTGAAAAGGTTGGTGTAGCTCCAATGGTTGATAAGATTAGAGAGTGCCGCCTTAGATGGTTTGGACACATAAAACGTTGGCCTTTCGATGACCCAGTCAGGAGAGTAGATGTATATGATCTGATCTATGTTAAGAAAGATAGCGATGGACATAAAAATAGTTTGCTAGAAAAGATTAGAAATGACATTTTTTATGAAATTTAAATGAAAATTTGATTCTTAACAGAACACTATGGACAAAAAGATTCATGTAGCTGACCTCATGTAGTGGGATAAAGGCTTGATGTTATTTTTGTTGTTGTATTGCTTGCATTTTGTCTATCTGTGCTTGTTTTAGACAACCAACTTGATAATTTTGTAATTAATATGAGATTTAGTGATGCATTCATGAATTTAAAAGAAATTAGAGATCTTACTAAGAAAATAGTACAACAACAACAACAACATCAAGCCTTTATCCCACTACGTGGGATAAAGGCTTGATGTTGTTGTTGTTGTTGTACTATTTTCTTAGTAAGATCTCTAATTTCTTTTAAATTCATGAATGCATCACTAAATCTCATATTAATTACAAAATTATCAAGTTGGTTGTCTAAATGATGAGATCTATATTTAAAAAATTTGAAGGATAAAACTTGGCTAGACATATCAACCGTTTTTTATCAAAAGCTGAAAAATGAATCATATGGATTCGAGCATTCGACACACATTGTAGCTCTGTATTCATTTCATCAAATCTATTATTGAGCTCTTGAAGTTGCATGCATATCTATGATAGTGTAAAATGATTCAATTTGAAAATGATGTCTATTTGTGATTGCTTGAGCATTTTGTCTTGATCTTTCTTGCATTATAGAAGTATCATCCATATTTGGAGCAGCTATATTATTTTCCTCATATAATGTACAAAGTTTTTTCAGCAAAGTGTTCCAACTATTGACTCTCATGTTTTGGGGCCTTTGCTTAGGTACTTTTACTCAAATCTTGACATTTATGATGTCTTGATCCTTTATGAGCAACACTTGTGATAAACTCAATTGTGACCCCCAATATATACTTCATTATATACAAATTGAAAACAAATTTAAAGCATTGTATAGAATCAAGAAGGGTATCTGCTTCACTTTTTTTCTAATTGCTTAAACCATCTTATATTATTACTTCAAAAACCTCAATAATAGATCCAAATAGAAGTATTAAACTGATTAGCAATTCATAATGCGAACCTTACATGTATCTCATTCTCTAAATCTATACATCTCCATTATGTTCGGTTGAATTTTGAAGTTTTGTCAAGGCAGAGCTGATTTTCTGATCCTAAGATTGCAGAACAGACCAATTACATCTCCTATCTTTGTTAGGGTTTATTGAAATTTTTGAAATTTACTGGTCTTCCAAATTTCATGTATGCACATTTATTTGAATTTCAAATGACAGATATTTGTATCTCTGTTAATGGCTTAGATCTTTAATGTTGCGTTCCTAATTTCTTATGCAATCGCAAGGAGCCATCTTATACTCTCTATATGTTTTGCTCTTTATAAAACCTTGTCATTTATTTTTTGAGAGGTGTTATCTCAGCATGGCTTTTAACTTCATGTTGATTTCTTCATCTAACACTCATTCCAAGTTTAAACAGGCTACTCTTTTATGATTCTATTATTTATATGTAGATAGCATCTTTCTTCTCGTGCAGTTGCTAATGACTGGAATAGCTGTTCTGAAAGTTGATGACCTTGGTAGGCGGCCCCTATTGATCGGCGGTGTTAGTGGAATTGTATGTACCCATCCTTTTTGCCTGTCTTTTTGATAGAATGAAACTATCACTTTGTTTATGCGTTTTGTACATCATTATAATTTCAGGAGAAAATATTGATTAAATTTGTTCTATCAATTCCATCCTAACTTCAGTCAACCCCACATAGTTGGGATAAGGCTAGTAATTCTGGTGACATGAAATCATCTTAATTTTTATCAAATGTTTTGTATGCTTGCTAATTTAACAAGATAGTATCCAAGTTTTTATTCACCAAAATGCTAATGGGCCTTTTGGATTTTGAATATAGGTACTATCCTTATTCCTTCTTGCAGCTTACTACAAATTTTTAGGAGGTCTCTCTTTTGTTGCTGTTGGAGCTCTGCTTTTGTATGTTGGTTCTTACCAGGTTACTTCCTCTCTGACGATGTAGATTATTGATGCATTCTGTGTTTCTAACTGCATTCCACACTTCAACTATGTATTCGAATGCATTAGCTGCAATGCCTTCTTTTTTAAAGAAGTTGGTTTTAAAAGAACAATATTTAGCTTTTCTCGCAATTTGTCCTTGGATAAAATTATACATTGTAGATTCTTTTATTATCAATGCTTCATGGATTCATTCATTTTATTTTATTTTTTCTTTGAGTAGACATGCAAAACTTCCACTTTTATGCAACTAATTTCCCATCCTAGGTGGTGTAGAATGCCCTTTTAGATGTTTAGTAATTTGACGCCAGAGAATTAAGCTATCGATGTTAATATAAAAGGTCATGAGCACTTTTTTACTTAGATAAAATAAAATCAATAGCACCAATTATTTTGCTCTCAAACTATACATATTTCCACCCGATCATTTTGGTGCTTGTGGGCTCCAAAAATTCGGCCCCGGCCTCCGCCCGCTTTTCTTTTATTCGGCGAGGGAGTTTTAATGGATATGTTCCGAGGTAAATTTTGGAAGGCAGATGGGTTTGTAGATAAGACACTACCCAGAGATTTCGCCCTCATTTTGCGAGGACTTTATGACATGAGTTCTGGTTTCCTATAGGCGCAAGCCCCTATAGTTAATTACCCCTCCCAATAATGAGAGAGAACTTTCGATTAAGGCTAGTCGTCAATCAGATACGTATAGAATACGTGTTATCTGGCATATAGTAGCAGCAATGAATTTGGAAATTGGAATTTGAACGATTTAGATTGGGATATTTGATGGTTTTGGAAGGTTTAATATTTAAAATAGAAATTTCACAATCTTTCACTTAAAGCAGATGGTGGGGGAATGGATGATGGACCCGATCAAGATCCCATGGTTCCGTCCCCTCCCCCCATTTTCTCTGTTTTCACGGGATCAGGCCGAAGAAGCGCGCGTGGGAGAAAGTTACCTTCACTGTGGGCAGCTCTCGTCGCTGGTCCCGCTCAAAATGCCGTAACTTTCGATCCGACCTGGAAGGGAAAGTTGTCGAGGGAGTTAAGTCGGGCAACCACGCGGGTTTGGTCAGGAGGAAAGGTATGGGGAAGAAGCTCTCTCTCTCTCTCTCTCTCTCTCTCTCTCTCTCTCTCTCTCTCTCTCTCTCTCTCTGTGGACTGACGGAAGGTGGAGAGGGAGATCGTTCAGGGGAGGTGACGGGAGGAGGTGTCGGCTAGAGAGCGAATGGAGGGAGATCGACAGTGGAGATGGGGTCGACGGGAGCAAGTGACGGGTTGGGGAGCTCCTGCGATCGAGTGGGGGAGAGCCGAGAGGCTGTGGAGGTCCGGTATTTAACGATGGGAGCGTGACAGAGATCGAGAGCGGGATTTCGGCAGGGAATACGGAGAAGCGGCTGATTCGATGCTGAACAGCGGGATTTCGGCAGGTATTTGCGCGAGCTTTCGGTGGGATACAAGGTATTCCCAATCTCTCTCTCGTTCTCTTTTGGTTTCTTATACGGAGGTCAACAGTGCTGTACAAAGCAGTACGTAAAGACAACAACAATAACGACAATGCTGAATATTGAAATAAAACATACAACAAACAACATCGATGATTGTGGAGCAAACTGTTAATCATCAATCAACAATTGACGATAACAATGACTACCTAAGCTAACTAAAAAGCAACAAAAATGCAATAACTTAGTTTCAGTGAGCTTGTAAAGTGCAAAAGCAATTAAAATAACAAAAGTCAGAAATAAAATGGAGAAAAAAGGGAAGATCGACAAACACAATCCTAAATTATTGTAGGACCTCACTTTGATGACATTTAATTGCGCAAATGAGAGAGCAATTAAATTGGATGGAAGCAGTATCAGACTTACATTTATTTCTTTATTATGTTAGGAGGAAGTGCAAATGAGAGAGCAATCATAAGAACCGAAACGAAAAGAAAATATTATGCCAAAAATAACATAAAACAATGGACATATGATTTGTATTTCAGCTGTCCAGGTGTGCTCTGAAAGGTTCACCCTGCTCCTTTTCAGAGTATTGATGATACATTTTCTGAAGGTATATATATATATATATATATATATATATATATATATATATATATTAAAAGCATAATATTATAACAATGAAAATATGTGATTACAACAGGGGAAATTAACTATAATTGTCATAATACATAGGAAAAAGACAAACGAGCAAATACATAAAGCATAAGGCGAAAAGAAAAGATCATCCAATGGCGTGGGAACGCAAAAAAGGAGACTAAAAGCTCAATTAGATTGTCTTGCTTCAAGCCTGGTGAAATACAGAGAATGATGATATATTTTATTTTGATTATATATCCATCTGGTTAAAAGTATTTGATACCTCCTTTCAACCCATCCAAAAAAAAAAAAACTCCTGTCAACCAGGCCATCATCACTCATGCTATTCTCATCAGAACATTTTGATTGTTGAACAACATGATCATTTGCATCTTCACAAATGGGAGGGAGAGGAGGAAAAGAGACATATGGAGGGTAAGAATCTTTGATAGTAAAATTTGTAGAAGCCATGTGAATAGTGTTAATAGGGCTATTTACAAGGACGTGTGACTATGAGGAAATCCATTGATTCGAAATTCTGAGAAATTTGGAATAGTCCATGAGCAAGATGTAAATCATGAAAAATAGGAAGATAAATATTATATGCAACTCTAGAAGCTAGTCCATGTATATAATAAGCAAAGAAGCTAGTCCATGAAAAATAGAATTATGATAGAAACTTGGAATGCAGTTTCTCTTACAGGCAAATTAATAAAAATAATAGATATTATGATTCATAGGAAGATAAATATTATATGCCTTCAGGAAACTAAACAAGTCAGAGAGAAAGTTAAGGAGATTGATAGCTTAGGGTTTAAACTATAGTATTCATGTAAGAGTTGTACAAGAAATAAGATATGTGTGATTATAGATAAGAGTTTGAAAGATAATGTGGTAAAAATTAATAGAATTGGAGATAAAATTATAGCTTTAAATATTGTTGTTGATATTATGATTATTAATATCGTAAGCACTTATACTCATAAAGTAGGTTTGGATATGTGTTCAAAATTTAAATATTATAATGACTGAGAAAAATTAATACAAAATATACCTCTTAAAAAGTATTTTTATTGGAGGAGATTTAAATGAACATGTTGATAGAGAAGTATAAGATTTTGAAAGCATTCATAGTAATTACAGGTTTGGAGCAACTAATGAAGATGGTAGGACTATATTAGTAAAATTTCAATTTATGGTTGTTAAACCATTTGAACTATACAAAGGCACGCCAAGATTTTAAAATTTTCTTTAAAAAATCTCCTTTTGAAAAACTTAAACTAATTCGAAACTTAATTTTAAAAACAGATTTTTCAAAGCAGAAGAGAATAATAGGAAAACCAAATCTGGTTTTTCTTGATTTTATAGAAGTAAACCAATATTTTTATCCGTTTTATTTTCAAAATTTTTATTTCTTTTTCTATTCAAATCATTAAAGATATGTATGCAGGAGCTATTACTTGTGTTCAAACATAAGGTGGTTTGACCAAGTATTTTCCTATTTCGGTTGGATTACATCAAGGATCGGCCTTAAGTCCGTACCTTTTTGCTTTAGTCATGGATGTTCTCACTAGACATTTGGAAGAGGATATGCCTTGGTGTATGCTTTTTGCTGATGATATTCTTCCTGTTGATAAGACTAGAGAGGGAGTTGAAGGTAAACTTGAATTATGAAGGTCAACCTTAGAGTCTAAAGGTTTTCGCTTGAGTAGATCTAAAATTGAATATATAGAGTGTAATTTTAGTAGCAATGACCTAGTGAGGGGATTTTGACTTTAGACGATCAAGTTATTAATAAGAGTACACGTTTTAGATATCTTGGATCTATTATTCAGAGTGATGGTGAAATATATATGGATATTATCAGCAGAATTCAAATTGATTGGTTGAAGTGGAGGCAAGGTTTAAAATTGCGTAATTAAGCCTCGAGGCGGTTTTCGTCCGTGAGGCGAGGCGTAAGCCTCGAGGCGGTCTGAGGCGTAAGCCTCACGGGCACATAATTGCGTAAGTGAGAAATTAAGGATTTTTCTTACAATAAAAAAAACATAAACCATAGATTTTCTTACACTTGAAAAATCTAACCCTAAACTAAAAAAAAATACCTAAAATCCAATGTGGAGTACTCCTAGAGGGCGGCCGGAAGTTTCAACTTCGCCGGAGAGAGGCGGCGCCGGCAGGAGAAGCGGCGGGAAGGGAAGCTGGCGGGTAAGGACCGTGCGGGAGCTCTCTGTTTCGCGAATTGGAGCCGTGCGGGTAGGAAAAATTCGGGAGGAGCTGCTGTCGTGCGGGTTTAAGGAGAAAAAAACATTCATTTTAAGTGGGTGGGTCCATTCCCATGAGGCATACGCCTCACTAAGAATTGCGCAATTGCGCCTCTGAGGCGCGCCTCAGTCCATGTGAGGCGTACGCCTCTGCCAGGGATGGAATTGCGTAAGCTTCGAGGCGGTTTTTGGACGAATTGCGCAGAGGCGTGCCTCTTATTGCACAATTTTAAACAGAGAGTGGAGGAATGCATTGGGCTTGTTTTGCATTATAAAAGTCCCCCTCAAACTTAAGGGAAAATCCTCTAAGATGGTGGTGAGAACTGCAATGCTTTATGGTGTCAAATGTTGACCATTAAAAGAGAAGCATAATAATAAGTTAAGCGTTGCAGAGATGAGGATGCTTAGGTGGATGAGTGGCTTTACCTTTAGAGATAGGATACGAAATGAGCATATACATGAAAAGGTTGGAGTAGCTTTAGTGGAAGATAATATTAGAGAGAGTCGCCTTAGATGGTTTGGTCACATTAAGCGGAGGCCTTCTGATGACCCAGTTAGGAAAGTTGAGGTATTAGATTTAACTTATGTTAAAAAAGGTAGAGGTAGACATAGAAAAGGATTGGTTAGAAAATATTAGA